AGGAATTTCTTCCGTTACAGTAAGGTTTATCACTTGGCAGTAGAAATCAGGATATTTGTGCCTAATGATAGGGTTTGGATTCCACTGGAACCACTGCGGCTCCCCACCACTTCCCTGAAGACGAAAAAGACATAATGTTTGAGCAGAATATATGTATTCAACCAACAGCAGGGCTTGAGGCCTGCTGATATGACCCGGGGGCTATCCCACCAGGCGAAGGTACAATGGCAGAGAACTTAATTGAACCTTTCAGCAAAGCCGAGAAGTAAGTAAGTAACCAGCATCTTACATAATCATAAATAAGGGTTTTGACAGCACTGCAATTTGAACTCTAACTTATGCATGTTGCTGGAAGGTAGAGAGAAACCATGAGTCGTGCGTATTGAACGAATGTGTCATACTGCTCATACACATCGTAATTGTCCCTTGTTTTAGAATGAAGACGGCGACGGACCGAAAATCTTTTAGTGGAATGTTAAATTACTTCTCGAAAGCAATTTGATTTCGCAAAGAGGTTTTTATTTCAGATCCAAAATGTTATCATTTCGTTTAGCACAGTCCATGATTGAGATAGATCTGTTTCCTTGAGGCGGGACCATGTATATCTGCTTCCCTTATCAAATGGCAGGCGAAATAAGCTTTTTTTCTCATTCACGACCATTTAATTACGCGTTTGGATTGTCATATTCCAGATCTAAAAGTTGGCTCGTCGATGGATTTTCTACTGCTCTCCTACAAAATACAGAATTAACGGCATGTTTTTTGCCTGACCTTGTATTTTCTTGAACATTGCATGATACTACTTCCACGGAATCACTCGACTTTAGGGTAAGAAGCCCTCATATGCGATTTATTGAGGTCCTATGCGCTTTATTTGGCGTCTAGATTCGAGGGTCGTGCATCCCAAGGAGATATCTCCTCTTTGATCATCATATCGAACATATAGTGCTATCCCGTTTCCCATCTGAGACGTTAAACACTTCTGGAGGGGCATATTTGCTTTTATTTAAAATATCTAAGAAAGTGCGGTTATCCTTGCAACGGGAGGGTCGTTCAAGCTGAAAAATCACTGAAAATTTGACATCTAAACTGAATTAAGGTGTGAGGTGTAGACATGGGATGATTAAGCAGCAGTTGGAGCTCTTAATTAGCTTGTTTTGCTCAACAGTCGTGGGAGTTGATTGAAACGGCTATCGCGAATATTGGGTGTTAGGGCCGGCAGACTTATGGGGGCGGGAAAGTGTAGGCAGCTGATCCGCCGTGGGTAAGCAGTCGGTCACCCCTTTGCTACCGTATTATCGTCATTAGCCCTAAATCTGCCTTCAAGGTCGGTCACACGTAAACGAGATTTCTAGCGGAGCTAGTGGTGGGATAAGCAGCCTCTAAATCAAGTGAATTATCTCCAGCTTAAACATTTGTGACCAAAGCCAGCATGAAATTTCGGCATAACTCCATTTACTTGTGAAATTCAATTAGTGTGTAAAACATACCTCTAGTGCGAATCTGCAATCGTAAAGTCGAGTCAGAAAATTGAAATATGAAAACAAATGTCTTCTCTTTGCCCACAAACCTCAGTAGCAAGAACCTCTCGAAACCTGAAAGAGATTTAGAGCCACTTCCAAGATGGAATGTTTGTTAGAACATTGTGGCCCCTAAAAAAGTAAGGAAATGTACGTTTTTACCTCCCGGGGTATCACAAATGTCTTCGCAATACGGAGAGGAAGTTGGAAAGGATGGGGAAAAGAGGTTTTCGTCAACTATAAACGTCCACTGTATAAGGCAATTGGGTGAAGCTTCTGTCCCAGGAGACCTCTTCATCAAGTTGAAGAGGCCACCTGCAAATGCTCGACTGAATCCTCGCACAAGGCCAATCTCAGGTGACTAGTGGGAAAATAATCTTCAACTTTCATAGTGATGAATCGGTGTGAAGTGAATTCGAGTGCGCACTACCAACTGAAAATGCTGAAGAGCATGTGTCAGTCATTAGGCATCACAATTTCACTCGCAGATTCAACAAAATGAAACTAGTGCTAATAACACACAAGAACTTCCTACTACAATAAAAATGAAATTCATTTCGGCAAAATTGTTTCTTTTTCCTGCCTTTTTCATTTCCCTTCCCTTTTCACTTCTGGATCCGTGCAGTTTTCGTAAGAACACTGGTGTTTCCAAACCTTTTGATCCACCCACAGGCACCCGGCTTCATCACAAAAACAGTGCACACGGTCCCTCCTCGATATAGCTTCCCTAGTTTGGCAGTAACGTTCATTCCCAGAAGGAGCAGCTGATTCGCCAGGAAGTAGTAACAGTACAAAGGCCGACAGAGTCGATTGCTGCACCCCCTAACTCACTGCTTACTACGACGTTGGAGGATTGGAAAAATGTTGAAGGTCTTTCATGTATTTAGTAGAGTTCGCCTAGAACAAAGCAGTTGAGCGTGCTGTTGAGGTCAGAACACCGGAAATGGTTGCGTGGCAAATTGACATATTCTAACGACACCTGTTCCTTAGGCACAGCAGGCTTCCACTAAAATCTGGATGTCAGAGCGCTCCGTCCATAATATCTCCTGATTAACACCCCACTAGATCTCTACACATGCATAATGAAGTTCTATCCAAAATTATGCATCTTTAAGCATATATCTAAACACTTTGCATCTTTAGAAAGGACTCGAGCACTACAGCTATTTAAACACATGATTTTCATTTATAATCTCGTATTCAAACGCTTTTAAAGATCAATCTCCTGCTGCGGTATCCATTTCAAATTTGGCAGCAATTGCATATGCAATGAGGGTACCTTGAAGTTTCTGTTGAAGCATCAATCGACTCAAAACCGAAGATCATTTTAAAGCAAATGAAGAGGCTAAGACTCCACCCTTCAAAGTTTGTTGTCAGACAAAAATACTTTGTTTAAAGTAATACCGCTGCTACTTTCTCCACCCATTGGTTGCAACGCGTACCATCAATAATTAAGTCGGTGGAAAAGAATTCGTCCTGTACTGCCCATCTATCACCAAAGAAAGTGGAGGTGCGGATGTTTCACCACGCATGGAGGAAAGTTGATTGCATGCATATGTGATAAACTGAGATGCCCGAGATTGCTGGTGGCTGCCACTGCGAGTCTCACCATTGTTCAAGCTTTGGAAGAAGCATTTGCGAAAAAAAGCGCGCTGCCCTGCCTGATGCTTTTGTGAAAAAGGCCATAAACCCTGCTCAGAAAATGAAAACAGCTTTGGCTGAGGCTTACGGCAGTAGAATGGGATTATTCTAAATGGCGAAAAGCAGCCCTTGGTGTGTGTTCAAACACAGTTTGACAAGTGACAGCCTCTCAAACAAAAAAAAACACTACATTGTGCATAGAAATTCCAGAAAAGTGGTCGCGCATTAGCTCGCATGCTTCTGAAAAGTCAAATAGTAGTTATCACCTACTGAGGGCAGACATACCTCATTACTTTTTGATTCCACTGAGTAACACATGTTTTCGAGATTTTGTGGTTTAGCAAAGAACGTAGTAATTGTGACATAAACGGACGTGACTTTATTGTAAAGTGCACTTTAAAGCGAATGTCAGCCTTCCATAGACACGCAAATTCCCTTCATGTAAATCCACCAACCTAGAAGGAATCGTTAAACATGAACCGTGCATTCTATAGCATTTATACAATTTCCAATACGTGGATGAATACACTTTTCACCATTCAGGCTTGGTAACTACGATATTCACAAATAATTAACTTATAAGCCTGCGTCAACTACCAAAGATTCGATATTATCTCAGGGAACAGTTCAATGAGCAGTGTAACATGGACTACAATAGTCTGCAGCTATTTTCCAAAGGACGTCAATCATATTAGGGATAATTTGATATCAAATACGAAATCCTCTACGTAACCACTTTGATGAGATCAGAAACGGGTGCGAAAATTAAATACCGAGGAAACACCCTCACAAACCGAAATCTCACATGATTTTAAAAGTGCCAGGAGGGGTGTAAGCAATAGAGGCGAGTTTCAACTTCTTTTTAAATAACCAAATGATGATGGGAAACGACAGGTTCGAAAATGAGTTGCATGTGTATAATTCATAGTCAGAAATTTTACATGATAAACACTACAGGTAAATGGTGGCATGGAGAAGTGTCCGACTTTATGCAAACACAGATAAATTGGGGAGGGTAACCCTTGCAGTAAATAATCAAAATAAAATTCTTGTAAACTACATGAGACGCATCATGCTACTAGTCCGGTACATCTAGCCGGGTGGAAGCAGGGCAGAGGGCGCTCACCGCCACCTGTGAGGTCGCCTGGTCGCCTCCATGCTGAGGCGCAAGTAACAATCGGGCTTCCAACGGCCAGTTTGCCTCTTGCGACTCAACGCAAACCGACTTAGAGGGAGACTTGGGACTCTCGAACCCCGATGGGGGCGCATCAGTCATCACCACATGGGAATCCAAACTGCGGGGAAAGGACTGTTGGTTTTCACCTCGAGTAGTGCTAAAGAGTATGGATAAAGGAAAAGAGAAATTCATTAGAAGAAAGGCAATTATCCACATATGAATTCAAAAGACCTAGCATTTAAAATGGAATCAGAGGCCCCCATTGCACAAATGTGGGTGTTAGATTAAGGAATTCAATACTAGCAACTATATTCAATCAAGGAGCGCAGCATCTGTAAATGCTAAGGACGAGTCAACATTAAATAAGAGTTACAAAATCCTACAACATCCGGTTGGGGACCTAACGTTTGACACGATTTAGAACCTTTCTGTACTGCCGTAGAAAAGTTTTATTGATGCTTGAACGACGGGCATAAATTTGGAACCAATCTAGGTAAGACAATACAAACTCTGTTTGCATTCAAAAAAGGCCGATGCAATCCGATAAAAATGTGTAGTGCATGGTGTACGTATTTTAGCGATTAGTGAGAGTACGAACACCACAAGTGAGCTGAGTGTAATAGAATGGTAATAACAGAAAGGATAGAAACAAGTATCGGGAGAAAACATTAACATCAGACTCACCGATCACACATCGAGGATTTGTGAAGACTGCTTAATTTATACGAAATATTGCCATATTCCTGTAGCGGGTGGCACATTTCAATGATATGGCGATAAAAAAGCTGGAAGCATCGACGCCACTGAAAATGGGGACGACCAGAGAAACAGAGACTCATAAAGACTGTCAAGGCTGACATGAGAGGAGAGGCAATGATTACAAAAGGAAGATGCAAATCATCGTCCAGTCTGAGAGCCAGCAAAACGCCCGAAGTAGCGATCAACAAAAGAGAAGTGGAATAACCAACACTGATGCAAAAAGACTGTCGTCTATAATCCGGAAACTTATTTACACAAGCAAAGCGGGAAATGGATAAGACGATTTCGGTAAACTCAAGAATGAAAAAGAATGCAAACGCAACCCAGCTAGGTATAAAAACAATTCTCCAACTCAAAGTAATAAAACGCTCCACCTTAAGAGCAACGAGAATGAAGAATAAAATGTGTGAGGAAACAATGAAATGGAGGTCCCCATCAAAGTCATTTTTGATGGCCCAGCAACTGACGAAAAGCCCAAAAATGCTCAGTATTATTAGTGGAATATAAGCAGACATCCAGTTATGATGGGCGTTTCCGAGTCTGTTGCAAGTCAAAACTCCAAAGAATAAAAGATTAGTATGAAAGAATGCATCAAAAAACACACTTTTAAAATGTGATTGCATCTCAATGTAACAACGCGGACTCCGACAAAATGCAAAAACTTCAAAGAGGAAGCCGCCAAATACAACAAACTCCCAAAGCCACAGGGGGAAGAACACTACCCAATAAGGCCAGTAGATAAAATCGTCAAGGCGCAAAGACAAGAGGGCAATAAACATGAAGACAAGAGACAATGCGACAAACTGTCTTCGGTTGAAATTATCACAAAAATATGGTGGCTCCATTGCGAAGCAGATTTCGTGTGCTTTGGAAGGGCTCTTCTCGTGCAATCAAATGGTAAACCGTCAAAGAGAACACAAGTACGACGGGGCCAGGTGAATCAACATTTGGGGCGCCTCCCAAGCATCCCTGACTTTCTATTGGTTTAGTAAACTTTTCGTACATACACAAAGTAATTTAAAATAAAAACAGGCATCATCATTTAAATCCGCATTTGAAACTCAATAATTTTTCATTTTTGTAGACTTGTCTTAGCTACACAGCTGACTTTTAAAAAATCCAGTGGCAGTTATCCGGAACTTAAAGAAATTATTTAATAACCACAAAATTCAGTAAGCAGAATAAGAAAACGACAAAATTACTGCACGCTCAACCCATGTTACTAAGATTATCAGCGCTTTGGGCAAAATTGCAAAAGGTATTCTGGCGAGTCCAGGGAGGAATCAAAGCAACTAATCCATGGCTTTATAACAACTTAAAAATGCATAAACAGTTTGCTGTGTTTACCAGCAACAATTCATCGTTTGCTCTGGTAATTCCACTGTCTGTTCAGATCGTACTACTTTACAAAACGCGTGTCTCGAGTGGGTAAAAGGAATCGCCTCGAAATGGCTATTCTACTTGGATTTTGAATATCTAATACACCTAAATATTTTTGACTTATTTGAATTGTGTGACCTTACAGTGTTTGAATTGATATCCTGTGGGTAACATAAAACTTGACTGCCATTCTTGTAGAATGAAGCGTGTTGGTATTTTCGTCGAAGACAGGAAATTTGAGAAACTCGGTTTTAAGCAGTTTCTTGAAATAAAGAGGTACGCGAATTCTGTGTAGTGTTAATCAGATAGATCTGATGAGCCAATCCGATATTTCAGGGTATTTATTCACAAAGTAGTGACTGTTCTGTAGATACTAGAAAACGAGCCTTTTGAGTGTCAAGGTACTTTTGACTTAATACTTCATAAGGGGTTCTACCTCATAAAAAAGGACAAAATGAAGTATTTCGCTTTTCAAGTTTGTTTTGTGGCACCTTATTTTCTTTATAGAGATATATCCAGTCAAATCCTTCTATTAAGTTCCTTGATCAATTTGATGCCGTCGCGTTGATATTGAATCGTTATATGCAATGTAAAAGTGTTGCTCACGCTGCTCGAGCTGCGGGTCTATGTAAGTGCTTCTCAAGTTTGGAAGATGTCTTTGGATTATTGCGTCTTCTGAGCTTAGAACCTCTGCTGTTATTTTCACCAAAATGTGTTTCATCAGTAGTTCGGTTGGCCGTTGTAATGTTTGGTTATTTGCAGGTGATGTGATTCTGATACCATCTTTTTGTTTGTGCATTGGTGATCTGGAAATTGACATTCGTTCCCTCCAAGATGCCAATGTAACTTTTCCAGTTGGTAAGCGGCTAAATAGGTAGCTAACTGACTACTTTGTTATTGTTTGGTTCAAAAGCATTACGTATAAGACGATGCACATTAATTCGCCCAATTCATATCAGTTAATAGGACCAGGACTGTTCTTTTGCCTATGTCCTGTTCAAATGTAATCGAGGCTCCCTCTAAGCCCTTGCTTTTCCCAACTTTATCTTATCCATAAAATCTTACATATAACTTTTTGCGGCACCTTTAGTTTGTAAGCCTCTTGTCTCGCACGGGAAAGCAGAGGCCCATAAAGTATGCATCTTTACAAACAGCTGTTACTATTTGCTTAGATGATGCTGCTCTTTAAGGAGGATGACCTGAGCCTGGTTAAATGTCGCTCCGTGGTGCAGAGTTTCGAGAACCACGATGGGATCTTGTTGAAGGCCTACATTATTGGTGACTTCTTTCATCTCGTTACAAGACCATCCATTGGAAATCTGCCTAGAGGTATTGTTAATCTATGATATGCTTGGACGCGGCTTTTAGAACATGAACCAATCTTTTTTAATTCGCAAGATGTTTCCAAGGGAAACTCACGTTCTGTTCTCAACAACGTAAGTGCTTGAGTTGCATAAGACACTACTTTGTTGTGTCGTGTTCAAACTTATTATCACTATTTGATTCCTTCTTGTTTTTTCTTGACAACGCTTTTGTAATAAATGATAGTTTCGTTTTTTGTTCCATGTTTCAATTTGAAGAATGGTGCAGCTTGGCAAAATATATTCGGCGAAGTGTACTTCTATTGAACTGGAATTTCGTATGATTGCATACTAACGCATTGTAACAACGCTTAAAACATATCCATTCCAGTATATCTAGGTCTGTTTAAATTCTCCGACTCTAATTAGATGTTTGCCACTGATTTGAGTAATCACACCATCGCAGATTCTTCATTGATGACCCAATTACAGTTTTAATGGTGGATGGTGAAATTTGAGCAGTGTACAATGACTTGAAATCCCATGTATTTCCAAACAGGATTTGCTTGATCATAAAGTTTGCATGCCTTGTTTACCGTTTTTTGTCACCTGGCAAGAATCATCGCACTCCATCATCAGTGGGACTGCGCCCTTTGAAATTATGACTACTTTAGCACTCGAACTTTGGGGTTTTGAACGATATAGTCGTAATTTACTTCTTGAGAATTGTTTTCAAGTGACGAAGTTTAATAGGTAATCTATCCCCAAAAGCACATCGTTAGGTTAAGTAACATGAGTCGAGACATCTTTCGGTTATTGATGACAGGTCTTTTCTTAGAATGCATTTAAGATTACCCAAATCGGTGCCTAACTGCTTGATTATTTGGCGAAGTTATGCCATCATAGTCTCACCTAAAGTGCACATTACATTGTCAGCTATGCACGTGACAAAATCCTTGCTTTGCGCTTTATCTTTTTATTCTCAAAGATAAGTGAACTCGACTGTTTTGGGCTTCACTAGCTTGTTAATTTAAGGATCGGAAGTGCTCTAACGTTCTCAAGAGCCAAAGGGGTGTGTTTTTCACTGCTAAGAGTTGGACTTGTGAAATATCAGACCACGTATTTTATTTCAAAGACTGCATAACTGTTACTTCCAACTTCTTCCCAACTGTGTAGATCTCATGGAAGGCGTATCAAATATTGTGTGATCCTGTGTATTCTTTGCGACAGGTGTGAAAATACGTTGGTCCCTTTTATTGTTCTTCTGCTTTCAGGCTCATGGTGTTCCAAGTGTTGAAGATTTAAATATTGACAAGGCTTTAATCAAGCGGGTCATTGGCACCCTCCGTGCACGTTTGCGTCTCGAACTCATGGGCGTCGATTTCGTGATTCCATCCAACACTGATCGTAAGCAGCGCTTAGCTGTTATAGACGTCAACGTATTTCCAGGTAATGTCAGAAAAAAACCAAGCAAGACATCTGCTTTTAAAACCCATGAAGTGGAAGGGTCAAATTGTGTTATTTTGATTATGAAATCAGGTTAATTTTTCGTGATGTTGGAAAAATTTTTATTGCGAGGCTTAGGCGAAACAGAGTGGAAAGGTTGTTTCAGCATCATATATTGAGGTTTAGCGTCGCAATTTTAAATTCCTGGCCTCTATTTTTTGTAGCAATGGAAGCTGCTACAGACAGTTTCTATTGGAATCAGTACTTTGATAGATGCGCATAACTACTTCACATTGCTAGCATTAGTGATCTTCAAGCCTAGTTTATTGTGGCTTATCTCTTTATAACTGGTGGCACTGGTTTTAACGCCTAAATCAGCTTGACTTGTTATTTTTTGAGTTTAAAAACAGGAACGATTGTTAAGTCAAATCGAGGATAATCATTAAAACAGCTTCATTATAAGGCCATCTTTATGCTGCTAGTGTTTTATTCCTGCGTACTAAATTGGTCAATTTCTATTTCATTTTTCAGATTACAGCTGTGTGCCAAATTTTCACTTCCACTTGGAGAATTTGGTGAGAGAAAAGCTGGATTTATCGAAGCTACCCTCGCCAGCAGCTGTCACGGATGCGTCAGTGTAACTTTTATTGAAACACTTTCTCACCTCTGACCTTTGCATCGAACGGTTATTCCACTCCGATGACTTCGCAATGCCGACTTTTTTTATTTAAATGAACTACCTCAACAGTCAAAGCTTACTTCCTTTTCTCTTTTGGCAGTTGTGATTGGAGGGTGAAATGTTGTCCCCAGTAGAACACTGGGCGTTTCTGCGCAAACGCATTCCTAGTATTGGTGAGTGGATCCAACAAACTTTTAGACACAAACCACCCTTTTCATGTGCAGCACAAATCAAAGAGCAGCAACTTTTCAACCAGTTAAGGAGAAGTGAATATGAGACTCATAAATGGCGGCAGATAACTGTGTTAAGAGTTACTCTAGCAACATTGTCCGCAGCTTCCCAAGTTGCCTCGTCGCAATTGACTCACCGTTTGGGGTGTTAATGACCGGGCGTTAGCTGGCCTCCTCAGGCAACTTGGGATGCGGTGACGTCGTTGTTACTGCTTTTGTGAGTTCAAAAAACCCCTGGAGTGTGTAAATTTAAAAATACGGTCTCCTAGTGATAAAGGAAAGTTGGATACGGTCAACTGCGTCCAGGTTCTATCCGATTTTCATGATGCCGACTGGCTGGTATGACTTCAACTGCATCTGATGTTGAAGTCGATGAGAATTTACTGACAGCGAAAACAAAATGCAGCATGCCCAAAGGTCTGCGGTGCATATCCACGCTGGTTGGTTGGTATCGTCGCCCACAGCGTGTGCTGATTTGGCGGGAGGGCTATTGATCGGTTGTTTAAACCGACTAGCAGCGCGATTGATCAATCGCGTTGCCGCATTCGCTTGACACGAGACGTGTCAGACGCAGTGAGCTGCATATGTGGAGCAATTACCATAATCTTAGACTGCGACTCGAGAAATGACAACTCGTGCATTTTCGAATTCAAGCAATATCCACGAGGAAGATGTGCACCCACTGTCAGAGATTATGTGTAATTGTGAGCTCTGCTACGCACGACTGTGTGCATCCACTAGGCATTTTATCGAGGATGATTCAATGTACAACCTAGATCCACTTGATAATTTTCCATTTCCCAATGGCCCAAAAATGATGTCAACTTACGTTCCATATGGCTACGATTTAACAGGCAGCTCTGTGTGTGGTGATGCAGGCACAACAGCTTTAAATAAGATGACCTTTCAGGGCGGCATGGGTTTAGAAACAGCATTTCCCGTGTATCCATCTTCCGAATGGCAATATTGCTCAAAAGTGATGGAACAGGTACCTGGTGAAGGCGATTTCAGTTTAGCAGCATTATCAAGTCCTCAACTGTACTTATCCAAAGAATCGGTCATTCACTTAAGACTGTCAGCCTATGTTGTTCTTGAACGATCAGGAACAGCTTATCGCTTGATCAACTACCGCAATAACTCTGCGTTAGCACTTAGCGAAAATTGCCAATATGGATACGTGTATCATTTTAACTGTCGCGGACTGATTAATATTCATCACGAAAAGCTTTCAATTACATTTGACAAGGAGCGACAGATACTACTGCGGACTGAGAAGCCCAGCTTCGTAAAGAACGAGAACGAGTACTACCGACTGACAATGCATCATTGGGCTCAATGCAGACCAGTGTCGATGGATTTCTTTGATCGTGATCGCACTCCAGACATCTTGAAGAAGTCTGGATCGGATAAAGTAAATGAAGAACCGAAACTGCTAGACCTAGTCAACTCTTCGGTAATTCAGAAAGACGCCAGCGGTCTCACGAGTAAGCTCACACTTTGACAGTACCAGTAAGATGTTCAGCTGTTTTATAGTTTACCTGGGTGATGCCCGAATTGAACAACGTTTGAACGGTGATGTTAGCCTCTCATGGATGCATGGAGAGCAGCTCAATTCCCTCGTCGTCTCACCCCTTACAGGCGGATTGAGTCTGTCCACAAGAAATCTGGAGATAATTGCCACTCCCAAAAATGAAATTTACATATCGTTTGCAGATTTCTTCGTCCATGTAGAGTAAGTTAATGTTGGCTTTTGAAGCTGACACGTCTCAAGTTTTGGACTTTGAAGGCTACCTCTGAAACACATATTGCATATTTTTGCTATGGTTGTAACTGCGTTTTATTAAAT